AATAAGCGAAATCGAATCGAATTGCAAGGAATATGAATATTTACACCCATAAATGAAATGAAATAAAGTTAAAACTAATGATAGCAATAACAAAATCTCTTACAAAAGATAAAATCGATGAATATATTTTAGAATTAATTATTGTACAATATATAGAGGAATTACATGGCTGCGCTGAGATACAGAATTTTTCTTCGAGTGTTGAAAAATATTTCATGAGTGGGCGCAGCGAACGAGTGAAACATTTTTTCAACATGAGAAGAGAAATTTCGTATCTCCAAGCGGCCATGTCATGTTCTATTTATTATATAAACACCAATGAAATACCAAACCATTTCACTTTAATAGTTTTTTTGGTGTGAAAGATGCGATTTATTATGTAAGATAACATGTTATTTTCACATGTGAAGATACCAAGTTTTCGCGCGAAAGCTCACCTGGTACTTCATTGGTGTTTATATAATAATTAAAAATACTAAAAAAAATTAAGCTAGAAAAGACTGCCTTTATAGCTGGAGATTTTCGTTTCCCTCATCAAGATTGACAGAGGTAGTCCAAAATAATTGATTGATCAATGCTGGCACCTTCCTTCTCTTCAACCCCTTCCCTGATCCGAAAATAAAGTTCATTACTTATCCCTCGAGAATCTAGGAATCTTATACCGAGAGTTAGGTAATTGTAAGCTTCAACAATTCAAGTTATACATTTTTATTTATTTTGTCAAAAGCATCAACTGAAATATATCCATCTGTCCCTGGTTTCATAGTTAGTAACGTCGCAGACTTAAATCTTGGTGAAAGGGCATAATGTGGTCTTGATAATCAACTCCTGACCTTGCACAATCTAGCTTGGCCTTGCACTTCTTTCAATTCACAAGGTTACTTGCTCGTTGTTCGGTGGATTTGGCCTAAAAGAGCGAGAAATAGAAATATAGTCGCCGGCGCTGTACTTTACTAATCCGGATTCTGCAATAAACAGCAAGTTAAATACTAAAATATAAGACTTACCCGATACCGTCAAGTCATCAAATATTTTGTTAGAGGTCTTCGATTCGTAAGAATCCAGCAGAATCCGACTCCTTTGCAGCCTGTCGGTTATTTCTACCTCAGGTTTTGAAATTTTGAGCCATTCACCTGTCTACTCAAAGTTTACAATGTTTACAACAATATGCTACCAAAATTGATCGCTTCCAAGACTTAAAAAGACCAAAAATTGGGCCGTGCCAAGAAAACGACTTTTTTGCCAAGAAAACGACACAAGATCTGGCAGGCGCTTCGCCTGCCGTCTGTACCCTTCCCATGGTCCCTTGCGGTTTATCACCAGTCACTCGTTTCGCGCTCGCCTCTGCCATGCGAAAAACGAAGCGCCTGAGGAGGAGGCTGGCATTAAATGCTGTAACTTCCAAAAAAGCCTTGTAACTTCAAAAAAAGCCAGAATCCAGGAGCTTGGGATATTTTCGTAGCTTATGGCGCAATAATTTGTCTGGCATGAAAGTCCAAATGGGGTTTTAATACCGTCAGTCGTCCAACTGCCTGACAATTCACCGTCAACTGTCAAAAAATGTTATATTTGATCGTCAACCGTCAAAAAATTTCAAGGTGTCTTAAATATCACTATTTCAGCTAATCTTGACGGAATTCCGGCTCCTAAAGAATTTCTAAACTAGAAAAACCAGTTCTCATGCCAAAAAACATTCTTTCTAGACAATACAATACCTAACAACCTGCTTGTATTTGAAAATATTTTGAAATTTTGTAAGTGAAAGGCCAAGACAACCTCCAAAACACATCTGTTCAGTTAGTATTAATTCATACAGAAGTTGATATTTACGTCAATTTTTTGGACCCAATTTCCACTTATTAATAATAACCGTCAAAAGCTTTAAAATTTAACCGTCAGCTAGCCTGAATTTCATCCGATTACTTCGAGTCGTTATTAGGGACCTTAAGCACCAAAAGCGTAGAATGTCGCGGACGTGAACCGGAAATGACAGTCACGCACACGCCATTGGTTGCCATGGGATACTACGCAGTTACGCGAAAAGCCCTTCGTCGCCGACGCAGATCGGGATGATTGTACGTTTTTGGAAAACGTAAGAAAAAAATAACTGGTAAATCACCACAAAAAGTTCACTTTCAAGGTAAGACATGAAAATCATCTTGTTTTATAATCCGTTAATACAATGTTGCATATTTTATCGCGTGAAGTAAAAAACGGAAGTGTTACATAACCCGTGTTTTATGTACAAACTACCGGTTGCAGAGTCAGCAAAGTGAAGAAAGCCATGACGAGTTGTTCGGAAGAAAACAAGAGTCAAAGGTAATAAAAATACGATCTGCTCTGACAAAATGTAATACTCCTCGAGATTTCGTATCGTATTATTGACCTTTTTGAAATTATTGTTATAATAAGGAAAGTTATGTTTTCATTTTTGCATTCCACTTTTGGGTCATCCTCGGTGTAAAAACCTGTGAAGTTTTTCTTTATAATTTCTTATAAATATAGACATGCAAATACAAATGAAAAAAAAAAGTGGCACACTTATATTATTAACATTTAAAACCTTGTTCAGACACGAGTTATATATTAATATTGTCCAAGAGATGGATTGGATTTCAAAATAATGCTCTTTATTAAATAAAGATCAGCTGGTTTTAAAAAGTGTATTGCAAGAAATAAACAGAAATACTTAGTGGGCCTAACCATTTTTGTAATAGATAGATAGTTGGATATAGTAAAGGTATATTGTTAGCCTTCATGAGAACAACCAGTTTGACTAATGCATTGAACATAGCCACAACATCCTTAATCATTTTCCCCCGGCAATGCTCTACAAAATGACCTAAGGCCCATAGTTGTTCAAAGGAGGATTAAGCACTAACCTGGGGTTAAATTTTAATATCCCTGTTTCTTTTTCATTAATGTTTAAAAGCATAGTTTCTTGGACAAGTGATCGATTCTCTTCTCTAACCTTTTTAGATCATCCAAACATCAAATGTAGACAAAAATAGACTGAATGTGCTTAAGCTGTTATATGCGCTTTAATTAAGCCCTACGGTTATCTTAACTCTGCAGCTTTGAACAACCCTGCTCACAGCAAAAACAACAAATGAAAGATGCTTGGATTTGGAAAATTAAGAACACTAAAATATTGCAATATATAATACCGGTATTGCATTTTTTATTAGACAGATACAGCAAGGAGACTTACACAGAGCCTATACCAGGTTTTCAAAGTTAGATGTAATATGCTCCTGCAAAGACACTTTTCTTTTCTTTTTGGGAGTTTTTGAGATCACATTAATGGCAACAACATTATGTCAANGTTGGATATAGTAAAGGTATATTGTTAGCCTTCATGAGAACAACCAGTTTGACTAATGCATTGAACATAGCCACAACATCCTTAATCATTTTCCCCCGGCAATGCTCTACAAAATGACCTAAGGCCCATAGTTGTTCAAAGGAGGATTAAGCACTAACCTGGGGTTAAATTTTAATATCCCTGTTTCTTTTTCATTAATGTTTAAAAGCATAGTTTCTTGGACAAGTGATCGATTCTCTTCTCTAACCTTTTTAGATCATCCAAACATCAAATGTAGACAAAAATAGACTGAATGTGCTTAAGCTGTTATATGCGCTTTAATTAAGCCCTACGGTTATCTTAACTCTGCAGCTTTGAACAACCCTGCTCACAGCAAAAACAACAAATGAAAGATGCTTGGATTTGGAAAATTAAGAACACTAAAATATTGCAATATATAATACCGGTATTGCATTTTTTATTAGACAGATACAGCAAGGAGACTTACACAGAGCCTATACCAGGTTTTCAAAGTTAGATGTAATATGCTCCTGCAAAGACACTTTTCTTTTCTTTTTGGGAGTTTTTGAGATCACATTAATGGCAACAACATTATGTCAAAGAAACAATAAGATTAAACTGGTGCAGTGACTCAGCCCTTTTTAACAGACCTAAAAATAGGGGATTATTATGTAAAAAGTACTTATCATGAAGACAGGAAGTCAAGCATGGCAAACATATACAGATCAGAGTTAAAATTATTACATGTAAAAAGCGAAAAGGTACCTGAGATGTAGAATAACTACATTTCTATCTTTTTGTGGTTCTAGATTGCAGAACACTAATTTTTGTTAAAAGTTCACATGGCAAAAAAAAATGTTTTTGAAAGTCTGAGTTGTTTCTCAATTGTTAACTCGCAATTTGCTAATTTATTTTCAGCATCCAATAATTCTTACAGAGAGCATGAGATTCTGCAAAATTAAGGTACCTTTTCATATAAAGTCACAATTATTTTTACAATAGTATGTTTAATGAAAGCTAGCATATTATTAAAACAACTCTTGAAAAAAATAACTGCATTTTAAACAAAATGATTTTTTTCCAATTTCTTTGGCACACAATAAGCCCATCCACTTATCATGAAATTAATAATTGACAGGATCATATGTGACGTCTGCATGAGACAATGAATACAGGAACTGAAAAATGGGATTATATACATGTACATGTTTATATCCTTTCTAGGCATTGCCAGAGTTGTTGCATAAACTGCAAAAAATGCATCTTATGGTTACTTTTACTCAACTCAACAACTCAACTGTTTCATACTTAGGAGAAGTACTCCTCTAGAGATGGTGGTTCCACGCCAAAGTGTGCCCTTGTATTGTTGCCATAAAGACATGTCAGGGCATTCCTAAGCAGAACACTCACTTTGTAATGTTTGCCAACTGGACTTAGACCAATTTTGAGATTTTTTTTTGAAATCCAAAAATTTAAATGATCCAATAACATCACCAAAAACCCACTCAACTGAGGAACGGACTGAGGTCATGACACTGTTGAAGTCCTCCATAGCGGGAGTCAGTCGTTGTTCTTTGAAGGGTTCTTGCAGGTGGATGCGATGGGGATAAGCGGGGTCCCCATAGGGACACAAGTTTTAATTTTCACTTTTCCATTGCTTTCATGAAATTTAAACTTACTTACCAACAGGTCCAAAAAGATGCGCAATTAGCCCATCCGGCAGCGTAACGGACTGAAACTTTAGGGTATGGAGCCTCTTGTGCCCATTGTACACTATTTTTTGGTTTTCACCCGGTCTTGATATTGGTCTTACGGTGCCATCCATGAATCCGAAGCAGTTTTTCAATGGATAACCTTTCACTGCCACTGCATCAACATACTGCTGAAGTTTCCGCGGGCTTAGAAGAGTAGCATTCCACTGTGTTAATCTGTGATGGTGGTTTTGGTAAATGAATTCTTTCACCGCGTTTGTGATCATAGATAGTTCTGGCACAGCTCGCCCAAACCGGTGTATTAGACCACTGTACCTGCACGGGTACGCCAGACGTTTGAGCACCATACAGAGTCCTTCAATCTTATCGGCTCTTGTCCTCTGGTGACAGACGAATGACTCTGGAAGCCCCAGAACATCGGCTAAGCGTTCAATATCCCGTTTTCGTACTCTAAACTCTGCAAAGATTTCACTTTCCTCGAGAGTGTGTAAAGTAAACCTTTCGTAATCACTATGCGGAAAAATTGGATTCTTGGTCTGCAATACTTCGTGTAAAACTCCAAATTCCTCTTCAGAAATAAAACCGTGTAAAAAAGACAAAAGCAACATCTCCTCAACCTGTTTGCGGCTAGCCATTGTGAAAAAAAAAGTGAAAAAAGTAGTGCGTACGATGGACAAACCCTCCTTTGTTTACATTTTGACTGGTCACGTAATCCGTGCTGCGTAGTTCAGCTTAGTTCAGCTTAACGTCAATAGTGGGACACGTAACTCACGTTTTCCCCAGGACTCCTCGTCTCACTTTCACCGTCGGCGGCATTCCACGTTTTTGGTGCTTAAGGTCCCTATTACTCCCTCAGTAACGTCTGAATCGACCGGCCGTTAATGCCGTTCAGTGACGTCACTACTCCTTGACCTTTGCTTTTAATTCATGCAAAAAGTAAAACACGATTTTCAAGCGGCAAACCGAGAAATATCGTTTGGAAATGTCTGCATGATACAGATCTGCTTTATTTTTTTCGATCGTCATTCATGTTCAACGTTCAAACTATCAACTGCATGCAGTACAACTCTGAACCTGTTGTACTAAATTCTTGATAATCAAACTCTGTCGCAAATCACGCAATGAAATAAACACACACACGGAACACTTAGTTCAAAAACCGATGATTTGCTTTAATTGAAAAGAAGCTATTTGGTCCTTAACGAAGAAAAAAAAACAAGGGGACAAGAAAGAAAAGCTAACAGAATCATTACACTTGACGGTAAAAATAGCAAGAAGGTCGAATTATAACATTGATCTCAGAAAACTTCGCGTAAACAAAATCACCGGCCGCCGAAACCACAAAGCGGCTCTAAATGAAAAACCTACCGACTCTCGGCAATGATTCTTCAATCGCAGTTCAATTTAGCATTTCAGTTTCGAAAACAAGGGAAATTTTGCTGTTTAAGATAAAGATTAAGCTTATGGAAATGTTTGAAGTAAACGAAAGAATGCTAGAGATGCGATCCGCTGAATCATCAAGCGACAATCCCGGTAAAATTTTTCATAATTATACATAATTATGCGAATGTTTAGACAATCAACCAATCAAAATCACTACCCGGTTTTCGGGTAGTGAGTGACGTCACTGGACGGTATTAACGGCCGGTCGATTCAGACGTTGTTGAGAGGAGAAAACGACTCGAAGCAATCGGATTAATTTCAGGTTAACCGTCAGCCGTCATAACTGGAAACAATTAAGAGCGAATGTCTGTAAAAATCGAGCAACCGGCGGCCACGGTCAAAAATTAAATTTCGCTCATATCTTGTCCATACATACTTATTAGTCAGTAACTAAACGTGGTGTAGTTTGTTTTTCAAAAGGCCGCTTGGATTTGGAGAAAATCGACAAAATCAATTTTCGTGGTCGGCGACTTGAAAACAACCAAAATTTGGCGCAAAATGAGGCGGTCTCAAAACTTCACTCGCACGCAAAAAAGGAAGAAAGCGCGGTAAAATATTCCCCGATAAATCAATTTATAAAGGGTTTTAGCCCGAGTGTGGCGGTTAATTCTTATCTTAACGATAATGTGGAAGGTAAACAATTTTATTTTAGTTTTGGTTCTTTTTCAACTCAACGAAGTTTAAATTTAGACCTAAAGTTGCGATTTAATTTTTAGGCATGTGCTACACCTTGGTTTTTCCTGAAACTCAAGCTATAAGTTAGCTAAACATTGTACTAAAACATATGTAAGAACTGGCTTGGGTAATTTAATTTGCGCTTCAGACGAACCTTCTGAACTTGACCAAATTTTGAATGAAATATGACACATTTGCATAATTCACCAATGGCTTGCTGTTGCCGAAAGGGATCATTGGCATTTCTTGAGAAGAAACCTGATGTATCTTTATATTACGATAGTTAATTTGCTAACATGCAATAGAAATTAACTTACCTTTATAGTTTTGGGCACTTGTTTTACTTTTTCTACTCTCGAGCTCCAAAATTCTGCTGGCGCTAAGGCATTTTGTAATTTGACCTCTAACGAGAGGTCATTGGAGATGGGCCAGGTTATTAAAATGTCACTCAAACCGAATGAGCGTTATGATCTAAATTCTTCAGGTGGTTGAACAAAATATTTCACGAGAAAAATATGTTTTTAAGACATTTTCGGCGATTTGAAAGATGTTCTTACCACTTAATAGAATCAGTTACAACATACAGGGAGGAAGTGTGAGAAGACAAGGAGTGGTGTTGCGTGACAACGAACACCATCCTTCGAACAGAAAACAAAATTGTTTATACATTTCTTGGATGTTTCCAAAGTTATTTGTTCAATTATACAACAACTGGAAGGTTGCATAGTCTGGCTGCCAACAGTACTTGATTTAAAAGTGTAAAGTGGAAGTCAGTTTTGCGGACACCTGCGCGTGTGATAAAAGCAATGACTATTAAGGAATTTGGAAAACATCAAAATCATACACCCTGCCAGTACACACGAACACTGAGTAGGTTTTAAACTTTGGACAACCTGGATAAATGATCTCGGAAGCGTTTTTTGTTTTGAGTGAAGAATCAATAAAAAAATCACGTTATTTCATATGTATATTTGGGGGAAGGGTGGCTCTGAATCTTACTTGGGTACTACCTAGTAAGACTCCGATGGAAAGGCCGTTGAGGGGATAGGAGAATCCGTAGAAAGGGTTAAGCTGTAACTCTTTCTCAAGGATGTTAGGTAAGCAATTCGCTCTAAACACTGTCTCCCCCTTTTCAAATGCTTGCACAGGCTAACCAGCATTAAAAACTTACATTAGCACACGCAACTAAGAAAATATTGCAAAGTAATTGGGGAAACGCGACCCAGGCAGGGCGTCCTTGTGGAGTGGTAGTTGACGTAGCGCTATTTTCAAGTCTACAAACCTCTCCTTAAGTGTGAAGACTTAAGGCATGAGTTTCAGTTTCTAGTATCGAATATATACAATGAAAGAAACCTGGGGTCTAGAACGCTGACCTGTTCGTCTCTGATTCCTTTACCAAAAGATATGTCAAAGTATATCACACAATTTCCTCCTTACAGCATGCTCGGCTACTCAAACAAGCTTTAAAATCCGACACTAAGAAGATATACCGCAGATACAGCAAGTTAAAAAACTGGAATGAAACGTGTTTACCAGTGGCTTAGGCCCTGACGTCTTCAAATTCACGATAAAAGGACACTGTTAAGGCAAAAGCATTAAGTTTACTTTTCCAGTAAATTCTGTCTTGCGGCCTTTGGCAACGGACCACAGGGGCCCGTTTCTCGAAAGTCCCGGTAACTTTTTGGGCCCGAAATCAAATATTCAAATCGAAATATAAAGAATAAGAGCGCTGCTCCTGGCTAGCAAACTACTCCATTTTGTTTCATTAACTGATAGTTTTATCATGTTAGATGCAAAACTATTAAAACCTCGATCTTTAATGTAAACGGAGACAGCTTACCGGGCACGTTAATTATTGGGACTTTCGAGAAACGGGTCCCTGGGGCCCGTTTGTCCAAAGTCCCTATAACTTTTCGGGCCCGATATCAAATATTTAAATCGATATAAAAGGAATGTGAGGAGCGCGGGTCCTGGCTAGCAAAATACTTCATTTTTTCATTAACTGATAGTTTTATCATGTTAGATGCAAAACTATTGAAATTTCTATCTTGCATGTAAACAACAACAGCTTTAGGGGCCCGTTAATTATCGGGACTTACGAGAATTGAACGGACCCAGAAGCGGATGTAGCCTCAATATCCGTTTCATTAATGACTGCCAGAGAAAGTTATGGTCGGAGACTTTCTTTTCAAGAGTTCTGATCATGAATTTCTGACGAGCCACCAAGTTTCAGTCTCAAGACTGGTACCAAAGCGCACACTCAGAAAATGGCAAATGACCGAGAGTAAAACTGAAAAAAAAAACTATGTGGGTAAAGAAAGTAGTGGTAGCGTTAGGCGATAGTTGACAGGGGCACCCAACGACAGTTTCCTCCTAAATACATTGAAAACCCTTTTAGGCTATCTAAATCACTAAGTTCTTTGCGGCGCCATATAATTATAACAACTGTTCTGTCATCCACAGGGCAACTTGAGTAGTCTTTTCGATCGAAATTACAAGGGCTTGAATATTATTCTTTTGTGAATTTTGAAATTTTTTCTGATTCCCTCTCTATTACAAGTTTTGTATTCGAAAGTTTTAATTCCCTTTATATGGAGGAAACCTGTCTCGTGTAGGAGAGTCACCCTCCTAGCCGAGCGAAAAAAAAACATTGGCCCAACCGGCCTTCGCGCATGCTCTAATTGTCTCGCCTTGGCTATGCGAGCCCTTTACCGATACGGATCGGATTTGATCTAGACGGTCGGACCGAAATGTCTCCTTCCATTTGACAAATTTTTTTTCCCTAGGACCAATGATCTGTATCCTGCTTACAAGCACGATAACCAAACTCGCGGTGGCTTTGGTTTGGTCTTTGCAACTGGAATGTACCTTCCACTGGGCACGTGGTTTTTCCGAAATTTCAAACAGGAATTTTTTTATTCAATAGAAAGCGCGTAAAGTGCCTACGGAGAAACGTTGGCTCGGCTAGGAGGCTGACCCTACCATTACAAAAGGGTGACTGGACAAAGTGGGTCACCCTTCTAGCCGAGCAAACGTTTTGTAATTTAAACGGTCCGCTATGTTTTCAGTAAGGAAATGTGTGAAAAGTTGCCTCTTCCAGGGAAGCTTAGCCTGAGATCATGCCCTTTCCCTATTAAGGGAAGCTCGGATGGGCGGGTGACCCTTCTGCTCGAGACAAATTTTCGTCATATAAGCGGGGCCTAAATTTTAATTCTTTACATTAATTTCAATTATTAATTATTATTATTATTATTATTATTATTATTATTATTATTATTATTATTATTATTATTATTATTATTATTATTATTATTATTATTATTATTATTATTATTATTGATTTCAATACAGTGGAACCCCGTTGATGCGACCAGCGTTGGGCCATAAAATCCTGGTCGTGATACCGAGGTGGTCGCATTAAAGAGGTCTTCAAAATGATAAAATGACTCGGAGATTTTCACGTCCGGGTGAAAGACTATGGGAGGTGAGCTGAGGCAAGAGGTGATCGTATAAACGGGGTAATCCCAAGGCGGGGTTCCTCTGTATATAAACAGACTGAAACAAGAGTTTGACGATCGAATAACCATGTTCAGATTAGAAAAAATATATATACTAAAAGATCATTGCAGAAAGTTTACGAAAACTGTTATCCAAAAAAATGGAACTTGCATATATGAGAGGAAAGACAGCCGCCTGATAGGTAATAACGCGTTGAAATAGCTAGAGGTTGAAGCCTGAAGTCAATCAAAGGCACATACAAGGCAACGGGGGAAAGTTGACGTGAAAAACGATGTTTTTGGACTTATTTAGTATGGTATGGAAGCACACTTTAAGAAAACTTAGGAAAAAAAGAAAAAAAAAACATGATTTGGATTGTTAGTAGCATAATATGCTACTTCTGGCAAGAACATTAAAAAAAGGCGTCGCTCAAATGGTTAGATTGGGAAGCCTGTGAATACTGTCACGCAACACTTTTGACCAGACTTTTATCACCAAAGAGGAATCGGCAGCCCGAAAGTTTCACTATCAAAATCGCACTTTTTGTGAGACCTAGAATTTTTAAATGGCAATGGATGTAAAAGTGTGACTGCGGAAAAGATAGGCCATGTTCTGTTTGAGGTTATTTTCACGCACCACGTTTCCTCGAGTTTTTGGATCTTCGGTTGATTAGCATGGGACAAGGCGCAATGCCAGTTGACAAGAACGGGAAAATGCATTTGAGGTAACAAAAATTATCGTTTCAGTTCAAATGTCTTTAATACAAGTGCGATTGTGAGTTAAGTTTCGTTTGGAGAGCCCAGCCATCGTGACTTGTCGAGCAACAACCAACCGACTTTCTTGAAAAGTCTCATATTTCAAGCAAAATTTATTCAACTTCAGAAGGTTCGTGTGAAGTACAAATTTAATTACCCAGGCCAATTCTTACATATGTTTTAGCACAATGTTTAAATAACAACTGGCTTGAGTTTCAGGCAAAACCAAGGTGTAGCACATGCCTAAAATATAAAACGCAACTTTCAGCCTAAATTTAAATTTCGTTTAGTCGAAAAAGAACCCAAACTAAAATAACATTGTTTATCTTCCAGATTATCGTTAAGATGAGAATTCATTACCAGACCAGAAGAAGAACCCTTTATAAATTGATTTATTGGGAAATATTTTACCCCGCTTTCTTCCTGTGTGCGTGCGAGCGAAATTTTGAGACCGCCTCATTTTGCCTCGAATTTTCGTTGTTTTCAAGTCGCCGGCCACGAAAATTGATTTTGTCGATTTTCTCCAAATCCAAGCGGCTTTTTGAAAAACAAACTACACCACGTTTAGTGACTTACTTATGCCTATCTATGGACAAGATATGAGCGAAAATGATTTTTTGACTGTGGCCGCGAAATTTCGATTTTGCTCGATTTTTACAGACATTCGCTCTTAACTGTCAACGTCAGAGCTATTACCACATTGACACCGCAGGATTGAGGAATCGATATTTTCAGGTATTGCTCTTCTATCATGATAAATTAAGTATATTAGTCCTATCTCAATTCCACACAAATTCACTTTTGTATGTTTTCAGGGACGTCTTTAGTAAGTGCAAGTAATTTTTTAAAATAAGCTTTAAAATAATAAGGTACACGTAGATGCGAGTAAAAAGGATTTTCACTGAAATGTTTGATTGTAAGACTGGCTAAAAACGCGCTTGTTCCATAGCCAGCAGTTCTAGGTTAGTACAGATAATTTCCTCTGCGGTTCTTTACTCTTCTCCAAACATCTCAACAAGGCTGAAGCTCATTTGCATACCACAAATGAATCGTAGAAACCTGATTTTAGAGTTTCCAAGTGCTTTTTCTCTACTTTCTGAGGTTATTTTTAAGTTTTCTCAATTTCACTTGCTTTTATAGTTCTTTCATTTTTCTCGGTTTTAACGATCAAAGTTTTCCCTTAACTTAAAAATTTAGCACTAGGATTATTTTTTCGCGGGGTGTGGGTGAAGAGCACTAGTGAAAGTTTCAAGCAATTCTGGTTTTTAAATAATAATTGTCATCTGCGGGAGTCAACAATTATTTGCGTTTAGCTAGTTATAATCACGACCATCTTGTATTTTGAATTTTAAAACAGCTATAAGTAGTAGGGCTTCAGCAAAATTAAGCCCCGTTGGTGCCTTCCCTTGCCTTCCGTATGCCTTCCCTTAATTAATATGTATAACGGTCGAGTCCATGACGTCACCTATTGTTATACATAGGGAAAAAGTGCCTTCCTCCATGCTTATGAGGGTCTTCCTTGATACTAATTCGGTATAGGTTTACTAATGAGCGAATACTACAATAGGCACAATAGGCTTGCCTCGACTTGCCCGTGAAGTAACTTGAGCCCGGTTTACGGACCGTCTATTAAAAGGAAAATAGGAATAAGAGAAGCGATCACCTAGCAACGCGAGAAACGGCTTTCTATACCTTATTTAGCGCTAAAACTCAGATATATAAACAAAACACATACACAAAGTGGAGTTGAAAAGTCTTTATTTCAATTTAGCTTATGTCTTCTTATTTAGCGCTAAAACTCGAATATATAAACAAAACAAACACACATATACACAAAGAGGAGCTGAAACTCTCTATTTCAGTTTTGTCTTACTATCACAGAACCGCGTTTCTATCTCGAGGAAATGAAAAACTATTGAAGTCTCAGCGTTTCACGCGCCGTTAGTCAGGTAATTATGCGAGTTCACAAGCCCATCGTTTTTTAGCTCTGCAATAGAAAACCCCAAGGGAGCATCTTGACTTATCATTATAAAAACACACAAAAAACCAATTAATAACTTAACAAAGATCAATTGAAACACGCGACTAATAATTGCTAGCAATGAATCCAGACACGTTTCTTAAGATATAAGAAATCAACTTTATGACCCTTTATTAAAATAATTGCAAAAAGGTTAGATTAAAGATTCTATTAAAATAGTCAAAGAATGCAAGCCATCCTTTCTTTTTTCGTTTTTTGTTTTACACTGCGCACAATGTTTTACTTACCACTCTCCCTTTTCAATTATATTTCCCTCCTCAATTTTTTTCTTATTCCCTCCTCCACAATTTTATTATTTTCCCTCCTCAATGTTTTTATTCCCTCCTCCACAATTTTTATTATTTTAACTCCTCAATGTTTTTCATACCCCTCCTCCACCTCCTCATTTATTCTATATATTTTTCCATCCAAAAATACATCGACCTCCTATTGACTATTTCGAACAGAAATGTGTTTGCTATGGTTTCTAAAAAAATTATCAAATTGGGCTTGAAAATTGGCTTAATTTTAGATGCTTTGCAGTATGCAAATTGTTCTTCAGGCGGAAACGGACGATGAATTAATCTGTTAAGTTCACCTTTTGTAAAGTTTGTGTTTCAACAAAATGCTTTTATGTTCTTTAGTTCCAGACATGACCGCAAGAATAGTTTTCCGTATCTTCGTTCTGGCTCTCCTGCTCCACAGCGCAGTAACTCAAAAATGTCCTGCAGGTGGTAGATCCGAGAGCTCCATTGTGGGCTGGATGTTACGAGGACACGTATACGACACTCTTCTCGCTGAACTTCCGTTTACGTGCGTATTCAAGTGTCGAGAAGACAATCGATGCCAAAGTTTTAACTGGGTTATATCTCTTCTTACGTGCGAGTTTAACAACAGGACAAAGGAAGCCAGGCCTGAAGACTTCATTCCAAGCCAAGACAGATCTTACTATCGACGCGATTTACAACGAGGTAAGCCATTATTAAGTACCGGGAGTACGGTACTCTTATATATAAAAGAGCGAAGAAATTTCAATGTTTGAAGTATATGAAAGGCTAGGAAAATTAGTCATCTCTTCAGGCCTATAAAATGACCTAAAAGAGCTAACAGATGCATTTTATGGATGAGAAAAACCCGACGGAAATTTTTCTAGTTTTGTGCTTATTCATGTTTAAAAGACAGATCATTTACAGAAGTTAAGAGGGATGCAAAATTATCATAAAATGCCACGTTAAAGACCACCCCCAACTACTACGACACCCAGCAAACACACGAAAAGCTCACTCCAGAGCTGAGCAACACAGCACAATGCGCCCTAGTCTGGCACGAGTGACACAACAGTAACTCTTGGTAAGTAAGACTGCCGACATATTGACGTAGTTAAAGCCCCCCCCCCCCGTTTTAAGCCCATCCATTTGCTAACGAAGATATTTTTCTGGATATAAGCCCCCCCCGGATATAAGCCCATTTTATGTATAAGCGCGTTTTGTAAAACAGTAGCCACTTGAAACTACGGAATTGTGATTGAAATACAAATAGGAACTTTGTTAATGCTACCGCGAGGACCGTTTTTTTTTACTTTGGTCGTGTTCCGTTCCAGTTGTTCTAAGGGTTTTGTAGATGTTTTTGAAGTACATTCTCCGTTTATTGTGATAAATGTATTAAAATGTAACCCTAAATGTAATGGTTTAATGGCATGTTTGCTTCAATTCCGTTCAGGTAAACATTTAATCCGCTTATACCCCCTCCCACCCCGGATATAAGCCCCTCCCCCTCGTTTATAAGCCCATCCAAAACCCCTTCTGAAGTTATATAAGCCCAGGGCTTTAACGTAAGGATTTTACGGTAGTTCTGTACTTGGTATGTTCAATAGGTAGCATTCGTGAATGGAAGGAATACGAAAGGGGTACCTTATTTGTCAGAAGCGTTATATAAAAGGGTAAGGGGTTGGACCTCGGGGAGGAACCTCCCTGTATAAAACTTTGCCGAGTAGCGCCCCGTACATAAAGTAAAAACCTATGTAGGGGTAAAGGCAAACTGATGATGAAGAATTGTTTTTTAACCTTTCAGTTCCCCTTGGTTCGATTCCAGAACTACCAGCTGAGACTTGTGACGAAATAAAGAGGAGTGAAGGACACGCTGTTAGCGGGGAATACTGGATTTCTACTATAAAATCTGGTACATCTGTCTTGGCTTATTGTAATATGGAGACCAACGGTGAGTTTATAGTCAGTTATATAATCGGAGACTGCCGTTAAGCTGATTGCGCCCTCTGATAAGTTACTTTATGATTATTAGACGACTGACGTAAATGTTTCATATTTAGTCACAGATGCGGCGACTGAGGGGATGAAAAATTAACCGGTAGATTTGAACTGAAAAGACACAGAGAAAAACAGAGAAATTTTAAGGGGAAAAAGACTCTTGTCACGGAGGAACGAGTGCTGCTCGCGTCACATGTTAGGGCCTGATCGAGTAAATGCCCTTCAATAATTTTTTCATCAATCAATATGTTTCTTGTTCTAGACATTGACGAATGTGGTGCTTCTTCTCCTGTATGCGAAATCAATGCCAACTGCTCCAATACTCGTGGATCGTATATCTGTACCTGCAGGGCAGGATATACAGGCGATGGAAAAACTTGCCAAGGTAGGATAAAGGTCGATTTCCTGTGATAACAACGAAGATGGCAGATTCCCAGGGATTTGTGAAGACCAGTAAAAATCGGCAATCCATCAAATCTAGTCCGTTTAATTACGGGCAGTGCATGACATCATGCCTCGAGTTGTACTTCTGTTATTAGAAACTTTTTGGTTAAATGTAAGTGTATACAAATTCTTTAAAGGGCCGCGCATTAAGAATTAAAACGTTTGATGTCCGTTATTTACCTGCGAAAAGTAATGCTGTAGTTACTTAATAGGCCACCTAGACCAGTAGAAAAGGGAAAAAAAAAATTATGAAGCAACAGCACCGGGTACCCCTAGGTTTTTGAAACAGCCTATATAGATAAACTCTGCTTTAGAAGAATTATGAGAGATGTATAAAAAACGTTGATGAGTTCAGGCGTGGACAACTCGATGGCAAAGAAGAAGAAAGCTTTAAGACGTTTTTGTTCCCTGTTGAGGAAATTCAGACCGTTTTCAACGGGGATCGAACAAGGTTGAATATTTTCATTATCAATTCATTATTATTATTACCGTAAAATTCCGAAAATAAGCCCCTCCATGTATAAGCCCCTCCAAATATAAGCCCCCAAAATCGTAACGCAAAAAACCCTCCGTTAAATCGCCCCTCCGAATATAAGCCCCCCGGGGGACTTGTACTTGGAATTTGCCCTCGAATACGAAGTAAAACAAAGCAAAAATGGTAAATTTCCTTTCCACTAGCTAGCCCAAGCAAAAGCTAGCCCAACTGATTTTATAACGCAAATTTCCATCCGTACATAAGCCCCTCCGAATATAGGCCCCTCCAAAAATAAGCCCCTCAAAAAGGGACTTTGAAAAATATAAGCCCCGGGGCTTATTTTCGGAATTTTACGGTATTTGATTTTATTTTGTTAGCAAGGAGCCTACGATAGATCCTTGCGGAACTCCAATATGCTTTTTTTTTCTAGACATTGACGAGTGTAGTGCTTCTCCTCCTCTATGTGACATCAATGCCAACTGCTCCAATACTCGTGGGTCGTATATCTGTACCTGCAGGGCAGGATATACAGGCGATGGAAAAACTTGCCAAGGTAGGAGAAAATAATTAGCTAATCTAAAGGTCAGTTACTTTACTGTTATAAAATCAATTCAATTAGGGAAGTTTCCTAAGGACGTGTGACATCATAGCATTCAAAGTGGCGGCTAATGAGATTGGCAATCCGCTTTCGTATCTAGAATTGTATGACGTCATACCTCATGTTCTGCTTCTACTAGAGCCTATAACACGGAGCGAGCAACTTCCATGTACTCTTGTCACGGCGTTTTCACCAATGACTTTGGCGCGAATTTAGGCTATCTTTTAGGTCCCCCAAAGCAGTCAGCAAAAGGAAAAGGCCTGAAAATGGCATTTTTGACTTTTAAATAACTCTGCATCATGAGCCGCCACTTAAGATCATGCACTACCTCACTTCCGTCCAAAGTGCAAATGGCGTAAAATTAAATCATCTAGCTCATAATAAGGATTAGATTTGAATGAGAATCTAGGACATTACATTCAAACTTATTTATGCATACATACACTATTCTATAATTTAATTTATGCCTACATTTTATTGCACATTTGACCTACTTATTTTTCTTAATATATAATTACTTCTTTTAAGAAATAGTTACTTAAAAGTACCGTTAGCAATTATTGACTAAGGCTGAGTAGTAATCCTTCACATTATACGAAACCCTAATTCATTCATTGTTTATTTTTTATTCAAAGTATTTCTTAATTCTTATTTAATAATTTTACCTCAACGTTTTTCCTTGGAGTGTTCCCCATCGAGCGAGTTGTTTTACGTATTATTGCAATTCTTCCATTCAGTTTTAGTTTAAAATTCAGCTATTCAGGATAGTCGTGAACGCCTTTTTTTTTTTTTTCAGAGTTCGCTGGTGAATAATCAGCTAGTCGGCCGCGCCTGGACACGGAGTTGATCGATACCATATTTAGAAGATGCCAGCAATATACCATCGATTTGATGGAATATTGCTTCATCCTCCAAATATGATATCATCGGAAAAAGATGCTACCTGAATCACCTTTTCTTTTCTCTTCCCTTTTATCAGTTTTATCAAAGAGACTGGCTGACTCCGTTATCTTAGGAGATAATGTGCATCACTTAGCCAATTTAAGTAAATGGCTCAAACCAGTCACCCAAAGCGAATCTTCACAATGGAAGCGCTGTTGGCGTGCGTCCGTAGATGGCTGGTCTGCCAGTACTTTTCACAGCCAATGTGACAACAAAGGACCAACTGTAACGATAATAAGAGTCGGAGGGACGTACATATTTGGAGGGTACACTAAGCTCTCATGGAGTGGTAAGTGACCTTATTTTTAACAGTCTAAACACCATACAAAGCCGGCTACCTTTTAGTATCACACCGTGGTTGCGCATGCTAAGCTGGATGGATTGTTGGCGTACGGACCCCCGATCGGCCCCTCTCCGACGATACTCTTTACTTACTTTCTCCATTTTAACAAAACAACGTCTGGGAATCAGGATTTTTTGCAAGCCATGTTAGTTTTGACTTCATGTTAGTTTCAAGCATCAAAAAGCTCTATTATGATCAATGTTTTGGTGGTCTTGCGCCAAGTCGTAGGCCTCATGCAATTTATTCCTCGCGAAGCGAGGCGCGGAGCGCCGAGCGAAGTGAGTTTATAATCTCGTCGCGCGCTCTGTGCTTGAACCGCGTGTGGATCCTAGCGAGCTGCAAACTCGCAGCTCTCATCTTTACTTGTATATATCCGATGGTGTGCGCCATGACGTCATACTGTAGTTTGACGTCACGGCGCATTTTTGTTTCTAGGCAACATTCGAGAGAAAGCGATTTCGAATTCTATCAATATCAATGACCAAAGTATTCATGAAGAGCTGCCTTTTCATCGTCTGCAAAACAATGTTTACTATCGGTGAATCTCAAGCTATTTCTCGTGCAAACAGAAAAGCAACACAAGAAGTCCGAATTGTCAATCCTCCCAGGGGAAGATTTGACAACGAAAAAAAAATCCTCAGGAGCGAGAACGCCGACATGAAATTCAACGGCCCAAGCAACAAAGATGGAGACGGCATCAACAAACAGCGGAGCAGAGGGAACATCACTCAATTAATTTCGAATGCTAAAGTACTTTAAGAGCAAATGGAAGCGATTTTGGATAATTAGCCTTAACATATGAGCGAACATCGCGGGAACGAAACACGATTTGCTCGCAGACGAGCCGTATCGGCCTAGGCTGTTGGGCTTCCATTGTTTACATGGAAATGCGACGAGATGCACTTCTTTGGGTTTTCACTGTCGAAACTGCAGTCATTCCTCTGATTCACACTTAATAAGGCTCGAAGGTTTTAATAATAAAATTTCCCTACACCGTCGGGTGTGTTCCACGTGGCCTAGTGGTAAAGGATTGGCTCAGTGTGTCGGAGGTCCTGAGATCGATTCCGGAAGTAACCTTTTTCTTTTCGCTTCTTTTCTTTTCTATTCGTCTTTTTCTCTTTTTCTTTTCCTTTAGTTTTCATTTTAGGTATAACAGTTTTGTCATGTTTCTATATATAGCTTGCAATTTTTAGATTTACAAATTTTTTTCTCGGCTTACTTGCCGTGACCCCGCAGTGCGATTTACGTATTTCTAGTAATATTTCGCCACATCTTCGTCTGAAAGGGGTTTCTCCTGTTAATGAGTTGGGACCCGGTCGCCTCTTTGAATTTTTCCCGTGGAAACAAGCACTGCCACTTTTTCGCGTTGTTCTGGAATTTTGTTGGTTGGTAGCGAAATAGGTAAATCTGAGGGTATCGAGTTATCGATGGGCTCCACTGTGACAATAAAGCATATGACGACCTTAGAAGAATTTATCTTAATCAACACTCTCCACCAATGCCAAATTGTATTAACCTTCCCTAGCAAGATCATCAACAATCAGTCAACTTCACTTTATGTGCAGAAATTCAGTTACTATCAATTACTGAATATGACAAGTTGTCTCTTGGCTTTGCTAGCTATTGTGTAGTTCCTCTCTTGACATGCCTGTCGGTGAAAACTGTTTGATGAGGGTTGCACTGTTTTATGTTTAGAATGATGTGATTATAATTGCCCAGGTCTTGCAAGCCTGGCCACCCATTTTCATACAGTGAGTAGCACACTGAAAGGACTAGGCAAGGCATGCATCTCATGAAAGCTTGCATTAGCCAACGTCAGCCTACATGTCCATCTCTAATATTGAACATCCATATCATGGTCAAAACAAAGGAAAACCAAAGAAAGGGAAAACTGAAAAAGCATTTCTTCAAGCACATTTTATAAGTGAGAA